TATGTCTCAGCCGGGGGAGGAGGGACCCAGGAATCACAGGACTCATGTTGCTATTCCCAGGGCGAGCGCCGAATGGAAACGGGCAACACGTATTGAGAGTTTACTAGGTACCTGGCACCGGACCAAGGACTGCCTGTGCCTCACCTCACAGAGGTAGGTAGCTGTCACTCCACTTTATAGGAAAGGAAACCAAGGCTCAGAGAGGTGAAGCAACTTGCCCCGGGCCACACAGCAAAGAAGAGGCAGAACTGGTTTCGAATCCCAACAGTTGGGCTCCAGCATTGGGCTCCCACCTTCTAGGCTCTGATGCTACCCCCGGAAGTGCAGGACCGGTGGCAGGCTCCTCGGGCACAGAGGGACTTGGCAGTGACCTGAACACTGAAAGGCATGGGGAAGCACTCAACACAAGGGGTCCATCACGTAGGAGATGACACGGCCAACACTTGCATGAACCCCACCAAAGACCCAGCATGATGGGGGACCCCTCGAGAACACCAGCGTAGACAAGTGACATTCCCAACCCTGAGGTTATCTGCCATCCTTGGACTGACTTGGCCAGGACTGAGCTTCCCCCAACCCGTGGTACAGAGTTCAAACCAGAGATTAAGTTGATTAAATGATGGCCCATCAGTCCTCTGCATTCTTGCCCAGGTGGGCTACACGAAGCAGGACCGTAGCCGGCAGCAGGCTGAGAGTGGCATGGGAGTGACCTCGCCGGTTTCCCCAGCCACCCCCTGACGTGCTGTCGTCTTCTCCATTTTGCAGATGGGGAAACAGAGATGCACTCATCCATAGCCATGCGAACTCAGGTCAGCCTGACTCCTACATCAGTGACCTCTGGTTCATGGTGTCCTATGGGGACTCGGGATTATCAGGTTAGGTGGATGGACGCAGGGAGAGAACAGTCCACTGTGAGCTGAAGGGATGAGCTGGGTGACCTTCTGACCCAAAAGCCTTCAGTTTAAATCCATCCTTTGACTGAGTCAGTGTTGCCTAAGCACCAGGCATCCAGGAGAGTAAAGAGGATGAGAGGGTGAGACTCGGGGTAGAGAAGCCAGATGGGAGTTGATGAGGCCTGAGCCAGGGCAGCAGCCAGGGCAGCGCCAGGTAGACGGGAGGATGGATGCTGACAAGAGAAGCTGAAGCAGCAGGATGGAAGGGACATGCTGTCTGGCGGGTGGGGGTGCGGGGAGAGGAGGTGAAGGACAGCTCTAGGTGCAGAGGCCTGCTGGCTGGGTGATGATACCTTAAACAGGAAGAGCAGTGGGCAGGGGAGGGAAGAGCTGAGCATCAGACAACTTTGGAGCTGAGACACTGGTTTCGAATCCCAACAGTTGGGCTCCAGGGGTGGGGGGACATCAGGGTTAGGGATTTGGGGCACAGGAACCCATCAGGTGTCATGGAGGAGCAGGTTGGAGACAGTGAGCAGGAGTGGTGGGGGGCAGCCCGGAGGGCAGTGCCACTAAGGGTGAGAGGAAACCAAGAGATGAGATGAAGTCCTGGGAAACACCAACATCTCAGGATGGGGGAGAAGCAGGGGCAACCTGCGAGATGGGAGGAACACTGTGCATCCAGGAGACACGGATTGAGCACCTACCATGTGCCAGGCACCGTTCCAGGCCCTGGGAACACAGAAGTGAACAGAACAGACAGGGTCCCTGCCCTCTGGCAGCTCACAGACCAAAAGACATGCTCGTAAGAACAGGTAGTAGTAAGTGCTAAGGGAAAAACCAATACCAGGTGGAGGGATAGCAGGAGGGTGACTGTTCTCAATAGGATGGACAAGGAGGGCCTTTCTGAGGAGGTGACATTTAACCAAAGACCTGAGGGAGGTCAGGGGTGAGACATGTGGGTATCTGGGGAGGGATGTTCCAGGAGTTAAGGCTATTTGTTCTCATGGGAGCCCTGGGAAGGGTTTGGGCAGAGGAGGGGCAGGATCTGACTTAGGTTTGAGCAGGACCCCGCTGCCTGCTGTGCAAAAAGGACTGTGGGGCTGGGTGGAAACGGAGCCCAGGACATGGCCGTGAGGACCGTCTAGGTAGGAAGGAGATGGGGTGGCTGTCCAGGGTGGGCCCATGGTAGAGAAAGTGGTTGGAACAGCAGGCCTTGTAGATGAGGGTTGCTGATGGAGACAGCTTCTGGAAGGATGGTGCTGGGCAGCGGTACTAGATTTGTCAGGAGGTCAAGTATGATGAAGACGGAGCCGTGGCCATTGATGTGGGAAGTGGGGTGTGGGAGGCGACCTTACGGGAACGAGGAAGCGGGCCTTGAGGCAGCAGAGGTAGAGCATGTGGGCTTCTGAGAGCCAGGCCAGAGTCGGAGGGGCTGTGGGATGAAGAGGCTTGTTTCCTCGCTCCCTCCTCTTTCTCTTCCTTTTGAAACACGGAAGATGCCTGGATGCGATTAAGCACGAAGCAGGAGGGCCAGCAGGGAGGGAGCAGTGGATGGAGACACAGGAAGGATGTTGATTTGAGGAGGTTGAGGGGCTGCAGAGGATGGGCTCACAGACTAGAATGGAGAAGCAGCCTTGACCCCTGGAGAAAGGCTCTGGGGACTGGCGGGTGCGCAGGTGAGCCTGCAGGTGTGGGGCAGGTTGCTGAGGGGCACCTCTCTCCTGGGCCCCATTTCTTGTTGCAGGAGGTCCATGGTCTGGTGAGAAGATGGGTGGGATTCAGGATGGAGGCCTAAGGAAGGTGAGGTTTGGAGTAACTTTTTATGGGACTGGAAACAGGTGCCTGAAGACACACATTTCAGGGCAGCATGGTGCCCCCAACTGGGTTGGCTCCAGAGTGTGATGCCAAGAGCTCCCTGGAGGGGGGCCTGAGGGTGGAGGCCTGAGGGTGGGATGGCGGAGGCTGGAGGCTTTGCAGGGCAGATAGTGGGAGGGCAGGTGGGCAGAGGACTATGGGAAGATGCTGAGTGAGGGCTGAGGAGACGGGTGGTCTGGGCAGGAGTGAAACAGGAGATTAAGTGCGTGTGTGCACGAAGGTGTGAGTGTGTGCATAGCACAGGTTGGTTAGACAGGTGCAGGGCAGCCTCTCCCTTGCGGATGGAGCCCCCAGGGTGTGCAAAAGGCAGTCCTTTGGGAAACTGGGAGAAAATACCAGAACTTCAATTTGCATGATTTCACATGGCATCTTTCGTAAAAGATTTTTTTTAGTGATTTTCAGAGAGAGAGGAAGGGAGAGGGAGGGAGAGAGAAACACTGATGTGAGTGAGACATTGACCGGCTGCCTCCTGCACGACCCCTACTGGGAACTGAACGGGCAATCTTTGGGTGCATGGGACGATGCCAAACCTGCTGAGCCACACCGGCCAGGGTCCTATGTCATCTTTTTAATGTTCATTTTCATTTGTGTTCATTTTCACTTGGTGTGCATTTCCGTTTGTGTCATCCCTTGTACATATGATCTTCATGTGGGCACCCGTGCATAGCTATCTGATAAATATGCACGGATTAGGGAGTGAACATTGCTGCGTGGGCACACGATTGGAACAATCTGGAAACCATGGTAAGAAGGGCCCGCTCCTTGGAGAGGCACCTCGGGGATCACTCTTGTCTCCTTTGCTCTCACCTGAGTCTATAAGCTGCTGTCTGCTGTTGCATACATTCAAAAGCTCCCGGAATCGGTTCACTCCTCTCCACTCCTGCTATCGATCAGACGGTCTCCGGAGCCTGGGTCCTGCTCTCTCCCTTGGTAGCTCCTACTTAGGGGGCTGGCCAGGTCCATCTCGGGACCTGCAGGATGCCTTTCTTGCCCCTACGCCGGCCCCGGGGCCAAGCCTGCCTCGTTCACCTCAGTGCCCAACCTAGGGCCTGGCACGCAGTAGGAGCTCAGAGTGTTTGCTGAAAGAATGAGGGCAGGAGCTCCTAGTGGCGCTGGCCTGGGGCAGATGGCAGTGGTGTCCTCAGCTCCTTGTCTCTGCCACCCCCTACCCAATGCATCAGCAGAGCCCACCAGCTCCCTCGTCAGGATATACCAGCATCTGACTGTCGACATGAATGGCATCAGCGCCCACTTCCAGCCCCATCCTGCTTCAGGCCTCCATCGCTCTCGCCTGGTGGCTGCAGCAGCCTCCTCCTCGGGCTTCAAACCTCCACCCTGTCCCCTACGGACTGTTCTGTTCAAACCGATTCAGGTGTGTCTTTTCCTGCTCAGAATCCTGCAATGGCTCCCAGGGTGTTCGGAGCAAGAGCCAAAGTCCGTCCAGAGGCCTCCAAGGCCCAACATGGACTGCCCTCCCCTCTCCTTCGGTCTCATCCCTCACCCTTCGTCCCCCTCCTCCTCTCTCGGAGCAAGAGCCAAAGTCCGTCCAGAGGCCTCCAATGCCCAACATGGACTGCCCTCCCCTCTCCTCTCGGTCTCATCCCTCACCCTTCGTCCCCCTCCTCCTCTGCTCCAGCCACACTGGCCATCCTGCTGTCCCCAGGCACCCGGCTGCGTTCCCACCTCCCAGCCTTCGCACGCGCTGGTCCCTCTGCCGTAAAGGCCCCCCTCCCAGGTCCCTGCGTGGGCCGCTCCTTCACTCCACTTGTTCTCAGGGTTCTCTCGACTTCTCTGACCTCAAATAGCCACCCCTGGTCACTTCTTGCCTTTCCCCCTCTTTCATTTTGCTTCACCATCTGACCGGGTAGATTTTTACTGTTCATCTCTTTATGCCTCTGCCCCCACTGGTCCAGAAGGGGACATACTGTTTATTTGCTGTTGAATCCCCAGCACCCGGGCAGGGCCTGGCCCATGGTAGCTTTTATCAGCGAATGAGTGATGGGCAGTTAGGGAGTCAGGTTTCCAGTTCTGACCCTGCCCAGTCTTGCTGTGTGGCCTCAGGCTTATCCCTGCCCCTCTCTGGGCCTCATTATCTCAGTCTAAGCAATTCAGAGACAAGGGTCCCATCAGCCTGGCCCTCTGTGCCCAGGGAAGGCCTCTGGGGTGGATGCTCCAGCTGCCAATTGCTGCCCCACTACCCTCAACCACCCCCCCCGCAGGCCCAGCCCATACCTTCTGCAGCCGCTGCGTGTTGTTCTCCAGCATCTTCTCCAGGTGTTGCATCCGCTTGGTAGGCCAGGCCACTAGGTTCAGTGAGTCCCTCTGGAGGCTGTTGGAGCCCCTGAAGGTCCCCCCAGTCTCTGGAGCGCAGGCCTCCGGCTCGGGCAGCAGGAAGGTGTAGCTGCACTGGCCATGCTGGACGCGATGCGCCAGGCGGCGCTCTCTCACCTCCTGCCCCCTCCGCTGGGCCACGGTCAGGGTGGCCACGGTGAGGAGGAGGCCCCCCAGCAGCATGGAGGGCCAGGAGAGCATCCGGAGATGTGGTGATGGTGAGGGGTGTCTGGTCAGAGCCCCCCCGGCCCCGCTCTGTGCCCGGGTGTCCCCTCTGTGGCCAGCAGTGGACAGGTCTGCCCTAGAACCGCTGCAGCTGCAAACCCCTGTTTGGCCAAGCTCCACCCAGACAGCTATTTATACTTGTTCCAGATGCCACAGCTGCTCAGCTCCGCCCACCGCCCTGCTCGCTCCCGCTCTCCCTCACCTCTATTCTTCCCCTTTCCCTTCCTTCCTCTCTCGGGCCCTCTTGCTATCCTGTCTGTGCACCAGCCTTGCTGTGCGTAGGGGCCTGAGAGCCCTTATTACCCAGGGGGACCCGGCCTCCCTGTGAGGGCGCAGGAAAGAAAACAACCCACAGACATGTGCACACACACTCACACACTCACAGACTCACACACGCCCCCCCAGGCCGCCTGCTGCAGAAAACCAACCCAACCCAACTGTCTCTTCCTGTCTCTGTCTCTGTCTCTCTTTCCAGCCTCCTCCCACGAAGGCCGGAATCTCAAATTTCAGCACCCCATGCCTCCGCTGTCCCCCTCACCCCCAGCACGTTCCTGCTCTAGTTCCGGGGGAGCATTTGGCTCACGGGGAAACAACCCGGATAGAGCCAAGGGAGGGGCAGAGGGGCGAGGCTGGGGAGGAGGCAGCCCGTCCAACCTGTTTCAGGAGACGTCCTTGTGGGGCCAGGGAAGTGCATGCTTCACCCTCGGGGCCGCCAGGGACGTTGTGCCCTGAGGTGGCCCTGGCTCAGGTCCTGTGACAGCCTGAGAGGCCGTCTGTCCTGGGGCAGACTGCTCTGCGGCCGTCTCTGAGGGGGGTAGGGGTCGGGAGAAGAGCTTGGGAGGCAGCCCTGGAGTCAGAGGCGGCGGCTCTAAGCCCGCTCCCCAGCTGCCGGCCCTGAGACCTTGGGGGCTTCCAGATCCCCACCCATCAGCTGAGTAAACCCGTCTCTCATGCCAGGAATGCATGTGAGTCCTCAGCACGGGGACTGGGGACTGTTGATGTCCTTGTTTATCTGTCTACCGCTTCAAATCCTGGCTCCACGCCTTACCCGCTGTTCACCTTCGGGCCAGTCACTTGACTTCTCTGTTTCCTCTTGATAAACTGAGGAAAATACCACTCATTTCTCAGGGTGTGAACATTAGCCAGTGAGAACAGTGCTGGCACTGGGTGAGTAGAAATAATTATTTTAAATTAGGGTCAGTGTAAGGTTATTACCTATCTCCCCTCCCCCAACCCACCGGAATGCTAACCCCATGAGGCCAAGGATTTGGCGAGCGGAGGTGATTGTGGGGCAGGAGGTGCCTGGGAGCCGGCTGGGGGCTCTCCTGGGTGGCTGCCTTCCGGCTTCTCTGCTCCTTTTCCCAGAGTGGGGGCAGATCCGCTGTTTGGTATTGTTTTTCCCCTTTGTTTTCCCAAATCCTGTTGGAATTTTGAACAGGGCAGCTGCTTGGGACAGCGGCAAACCGGGGACTCATCCGGGGGACTGAGAACATTCAGCCAGGTGTGCTGGGCCCTGGCAGGAAACGGAAAGGCAGCTGGTGATCAGGCACCTGCATTCTCGAGCTTCCCGCGTTCTGAGAGCCCTGTTCTCACCCCCCCTCAACCGGCAGAGGTCACACCACCTCCGGCCTTGCAAGGCAGAGGTGTGCTCACACCGGTTGGGGGTTTACTACAGTGCCTGGCACACAGGAGTCCAGAGCAAGAGCCTATGGTTAGGACTGAGTAGGTTGAGCTGCGCAATATTCCCAGGGAGGCCAGCGTTATCATCTACCCATTTTACAGAAGAGAAAACGGAACCCTAGAGTAGAGGAGGGATTTGCCTAAGGTTACACAGCCTGGAGTGCTTGGCCTGGACTGAAGAAGGAGAGGCGTGGGCACCA